TTTGCCGACGTCGTCCATGGCGAACAACTCGAAACAGACCATGCGTCAAACAGAGATTCTATGTACATGGCAGGCTTTTCAACTAACCCCGCATCCTTCGTAGCGGCTCAGAACCGCTCCCCATCCCCAGTACGGTCCCCAGTCTCGTCCCATGGTTTCAGCGCGTCACCATCAACAAGTGCGTCACCATCTACAAAAGGGCTGGACACTTCTCCCAACCGAGGAGGCCGGTTGCCTGGAAGCCCCCGCCCTTGTGCCCATAGCCCCCCTCCTGGCACCTTTGGTGGGGAATTGAATGTCGAAACCATGCGACAAGCCCTCCGACGGACTGGTTCCGGCGATATCGGTGGAGTTCGCAGTCAACCAATGAGCGCTGTTGGAAATGATGATGGCACATTCGAGCGCCCCTTCAAATAGGCTTAAATCTGAAGCCGTCCGGCCAGGACTCTTGTGTATAATTTTTAATTTTATATGTATTTCTTTATTTTCTAGTTTCCTCTTTTTTCCGCAATGAATTTCTTGTTTAACACGTCGACTTCAGCCAATGGAGGTAGATCGGAGTTCCTTTCAAGGCATCACTTTCGGGAAATTGTATCGTTTTCTTCTATATCCTCTACGTGAATTTTGGGGGATTATTGTTTCAAGGTGCTCGTTGCTTTTTCTTTATTTTTATTTGGCCTATTCCCTTCCTAATTCCAAATGCTTCCTTCTCTATCTTTGATTTGAGATATGCGTTTTTCTATTAGCTTCGCCATTTGCTTTTTATTCCTCTTGACCCCTTTTGTTCAATATGTTATGTTTCCATTTTCTAATTCTCAAGAGCAACACTTGTCAAATCTCGCAGCCTCGTATCATGAATTCCCACAAATTTGGAATCTGTTCAAGCTCGCTGGCTAAATTGAACAGTGTTTGTTTGAGTTTAAGAATCTTTATTTATTATTCACTTAGTTGTCCTTTCGTCTTCATCCGTTTACGTCTCCGTTTCAGAAAGTCCAAGTCCATTTTCTTGATAAAAGAGATTTGGGTTGATGACAGAGTATATGACGTGTCTGATAATTGTTGAAATTATATTTCCCCTATTTACGGAGTCAAGTATTATTTACATAGACATCTTTGTTCGGGCACTGGGTTTCCTTTTAATTTTTTTTTAACCACTTGCTGGTCAATATCTCTGGAACCAAGCCAGCCTTTTCCCACAAAGGAAGAAAATTCCAAAGTTATCGCAGTCGCCCATTAATTCATGATTTCATTGCTTCCAAGCTGATTGATGATGTGAGCATGCCCCTACCTTGTCAATTTTTATTGCCCATCCTCCGTAATAACCCACGTCGTTACTTAAAAGCCGAAAGCATGAGGATGGTCCAACTGTAATATGATCCGATACCTCCTCGAGTAGGATTCGAAAGATCGACAAGAGAGAAAACCGCCTCATCCGATAAAGCTCTAGCCACTGCGTATGGACCAAGGATATTGATCGCCCTCGGGTCTCCCTATATCATCCATCACAATTTAACAACAAAAATATACACAACGAAAGAAAAGTATCTAAACATCAATTTATAATTTCTTTGATACCTTCGCTGCCGCTTCGAGGGCACGCTGAACTCTTCCCCTGAGATCTTCGGGATCTTCGAGTCCGACACTCGTTCTTATTAGGTCCGTTGGGACGCCCAGGGAGTTGGCCTGGAGGGTAAAGAAACTATGTTAGTGACTTTAAATCGAGTGGCAATATTTTGTGAGATGGGGATGCGAAGTACTCACCCAATCTAGTTCGCCGTAATGGGCTAGGATCACATAGGGCGAACTTTGTGGAGTTCTTTGATTAGCAAATATATATGGTCATATATGTTTGTCTACTGTAGTTGCGGGAGGCAATACCTAAGGGTGAAGTTCGTTCCCAAGCTAGGGCCCTTCATGACTTCGAATGCGTCGTAGAAGGCAACCGCCTCTTCATTCGAGTGGAAAGTTATGGAAAATAAGCCTCCATATCCTCCATTGGAGTTCTTGCATTTCTCGTAAAAGGGTCGTGTTGGGTTGTATTTTGGGTAATAAATGTCTTTGACTAGAGTGGTTTGATACAATTAACAACTGGAGGTGAAAATTTCATACCATTGTTTCAACAAATACTCACTCAGAGGAGATGTTTTTAATTGTGCAGTTATTTCCTCCGTGACTGCATTGATACGCTCAATCCGCGAAACGAAATCCCGACTGTTCCGCTCTAGGAATATGGCATCCTCGCCCCAGTAGTTATCCTCGTACTCCACGTCAAGCACAGTCTTCAGTTTCTGGTAATATTGCCCATGAGGATTAAACACGGCACTACCACCCATAACATTGCTGTCTCCGCTGAATACCTTGGTCAAGCTGCTCACGACCACATCTGCATATGGAAGAACGTTAACGTTAATGAAGTTACCCACAGACTCATCCACAACCACCGCAAAGTTGTATTTGTTTGCCAGATTCCGAATGCGCTCGAGATCGGGAGCTTTTAAGAGTGGATTCCCGGGGAACTCCGTAAAGAGAGCTAGGAACCGCTCTCCAGCTTCCAACAGTTTCTCAAGACTTTCTAGCTCTTCTGAGGATGCATGGCCATAAAATTGAACACCAGGACCCCATTTTTGCAGTACCTTTAGTGTGTCGACATAAGGGAAGCCAAAACAAATACTCTTCATTGGTCCCAGGGCCGCCATCAACATGCGGTGAGTGTTGAAAATCGAACTCATACCCGAAGGGAACAGGTACACATGTTCCTCCGTTAAACCTGCAATTCGCCCATCAGATGAAGCGGCCTGAAGGGCTTCACTAAGTTCACCATTACACGTCAGGGAGCCCGCAATCCGCCTACGAACCGCCAGCTTAGCGTTATTGGCATGTGCCGTGCTCAAATTGCGTCCAAAGCGCTCTTCTATGAACTCGTCAAACTCCTTTGACGAGGGAATTTTGGATTTTGGCGTTTGTGGCTGCTGAGGTGTTGAGTCTTTGCAAATGTTCCCTTGAGAACCGTTCCGTTGATACCGCCTAGGTCCCTTGTGAGGCCACTGGTCTGTATGTGCGCTCCGTTGCTGGAGTTGACTCTCTTCAATTAAATACCCATCTTCTATGGCCTTTAGACAAAATTCACTCCGCCGGCTGGAGATGCCGTCGCCAGTGTGCTGCCACACCTGTTTCGCAACTCCACTATGTGCAGCCGGGTACAAAACGCAAAAGAGCGACGATGAAATATTTGGATGCAAAACGCCATTGCTAACCTCGGCTGGTTGAGGCCGTCGATGCCGTGGCAGGAGGAGACCAACAACACGGACCTTTGGCGCCTCCTCAGCAGGTAGTCGTGAAATCATAAACTGATAGCAGCGGTCTGCAGTTCTTCGAGAAGGAAACAGTGTTGCAAACTCCTCTCCAGGAGTGCCAAAGCGGAGCACTACTTCCTCTACGAGCGCCTGGATGCTCTTGTGGATGAAAAATCGTGGATAGCCACTAGTCATGGCCTCGACAACCCATTTCTCTCCTTTTTCGTAGCCCACATTTGCCCTCCATGTCGGGAGAGAGACGCTCACAGCCTAGATTCTGTAATGTTAGCATTTGGAAAGAATATTATGAGAGCATGTTACTAAGAGCAGAGGATGAATTCTTTATCTAGTCCGTGTGACTTTTTCTTTTTCTCAACCAAGCAAGTGAGTATCTGCAGAGAAACGCATAGTTCGGAGCTCATGTTGAAAGCCTATAAAACAATAAAGGGATAGAAACATCCAGCCCATTGGAATGCATTTTCACTTATTTTTATCAAACATACATGGTCAGTCTCTGGAGGGACAGATCCTCCCACTTCCAGTTGCTTAAACATTCCAGCTATCCCTGTCTCCTGAAAGTGAGACAGACGATGAAAAAGAGGTCCGAAGAACGAAAAAACCTTCAGCTCAAGCGATGGTTCAATAGCAGATAAAGAGCACTATCGCAAGGCACCGTACACAATTCCTGAGTTTAAGTTGTGCTTTTTGTTGTTATATGAGCGATAAGAGCAGGAGAGAATAGACACAGCAGAGAAGTAAGAAATGTTGCGGCGAGGGGCAAAAAGGTGGGAGACTTTTGATGCAGGTGGCCATCCGTGGTATATTTATGGCAATACTCAATAAACCACCAAATTATGTCCTTTAAGAACTTGTTGAGTTCATTAAAAATAATCAAAATGGTGTATATCAATATATTTTTCAAAATCAGATCAAAGTTTTCTTAATTCTCCCGCTGCTTGCACTCGCAAATTTCAACTTTGTACCTTCATCTTTGAAGTGTATTCGTAATTACAGCATCGTTTCAATACCAATACCATTGTAAAATACAGTACCATACAACGCTTCCATTTCGAAGGGCAAAAAAATATTGACAAAAGTTGAAGCTTCAAATTCCAACCGCAAGCAAAACCGCCTGTGAAAGGGCTCAGAATTAGGGGATATCGCAAACGATCACAACCAAGATTCTCCCTAAAAATCCCGGTTTCTGGACTTCCGCCCTGTGACTTCTGGCTATCCTCCTCTTTTTCAAAATCAATTCTCTGTTTTGGCCTGTCATTCTCGATGTCGGAAGTCAGTGCAAAGCGAAGAAAACTAAGCACGGAAAATGGAGCTCAGCATGCGACCAGAAAAGGAGTCAAAGGCACGGAAAATCGATCGCGATCGGATGTGCCTACAGCCGAGCTTGCTGCAGCCAGTGGCATGTTCAAATCCAATGTCTTCAAGTTGCAAGTGGACGAATTGCTCTCCCAACTGCGACCAGACCATGATAAGCTCCTTTCCCGTGTCGAAAAACCGCTGCGGAAACTGAAAAGCATTATTGAGAGAATCATTAATATCCCTCCCAAACCTGTGTATGAGGCGGAGAGAGAACTGCGCAAACGATCGGGGATTGCAGTTCCGTTTCCAGACCCTCGTCCTGCGAAGGACACGAAATACACGCTACAATACACCTCCCCGGTGAATATCAACGTCGTCGGGAGCTTTGTGATCAAGACGGAAGTAAAGTCAAAGCTTACTACAATCGATCTGGCGGTTACAATTCCAAGCTCCCTGTTCCAAAGGAAAGATTACCTCAACTATCGATATTTCCATAAACGGGCCTACTACATAGCTTGTATCGCAGCGGGCATCAAAGATGCTGGGGAACCGGATTTTAAGATAAGCTGGATCTACCAAGATGGCAATACGCTCCGTCCTGTTATTTTGCTGGAGCCCACTGAAAATGCTGATGAATCGTTCATCCGCTCTAAATCCTGCATTCGTATCCTCACCTCGATCGAAGATGCTGTTTTCCCGACGCACCTTACGCTGCCCACCAGCAACAACATTCGAAAGGGCAACGCCGATCAGGATCAGCAAAGCAATTCCTCACAAGCGGCTGTGGACCACACTCCGACCTCAATTTACAATGCAACCCTCCGGTCCGAGGCGTCCGTTTCGGCTTTCTTGAAACTTCAATATGCTGCTAGTCTGAAGTGTGCCGCCTTCCGAGATGCATGTATCCTTGGACGAATTTGGCTTCAGCAAAGGGGTTTTGGAACATCCTTCGCACAAGGTGGCTTTGGCCATTTTGAGTGGGCCACACTTTTAGCCTTGCTTCTTGAGGGCGGCGGGCCCAATGGGAAACCACTGCTCTCCCCCAGTTACAGCAGCTATCAAGTGTTCAAAGCCACAATTCAGTTTCTTTCGGGCAAAAATCTTGTCCAGCCATTCATGTTACAGGCAGGTGATGTTTCGAAAATACCTGCTTCTGATGTGCCTGTTTTTTTTGATGGAAAACGGGGTTTGAATATTCTCTACAAAATGTCCTCATGGTCATACGCTCTACTACGCCACGAGTCTTTTACAACATTAAAAATGCTCAACGACTCCCTTTGTGATAATTTTAATGGCATTTTTATTTGGAAAGTTGACGATCCTCTCTGCAGATTTGATCATCTTATCTCAGTTTCTCCACAAACCGCCCTTTCTTCAACTCTTCACATCGTTAAATACCAATCGTCTATCTACCAAGTCCTTTCAAAAGCTTTGGGTAATAGAGCAAAACTCATCAACCTTTTCGTTCGAGATACCCCTGCTTGGCCTATTGATTCAGGATCTCTCCCTTCCGCCAAAGAAGATAGCTCCTCGGTCACCATAGCATTACTTCTTGATGCTGAACATTCAAACCGAATAGTCGACCACGGTCCTTCCGCCGAAGACAAAGAGGCATCTATTTCCTTCCGAAGGTTTTGGGGTGATAAATCTGAACTTAGACGGTTTAAGGATGGAAGTATTATGGAAAGTTTGGTGTGGTCTGATCGTGCTTCGGATCCACCAATTGTCCAACAGATTGTATCCCATATCCTTAAGCTACATTTTGGCTTAGAAGAAAGTCGCATTGCCCTTGCCAACTACGGTCTCAACGCTGACTATTTTAACGGTGCCAGCGCATTGAACCCCACCGCCCCCTTTCAACAGTATATGGATGCGTTTGATTCCCTTGAAAAGTTACTTAAAGGCATGGACGGGCTCCCGCTCACATTGCACCAGCTATCCGCAGCTAGCTCTCTATTGCGATACACATCAACCCAGGTCTCAAGTAATGGCCTGACGCAACATAACCCTGCCGACATCATTCTCCAATTTGAAGGCTCGACGCGCTGGCCAGATGACCTGACAGCCATCCAGATGACAAAACTTGCATTTCTACTGAAGATTGCCGAACTTCTCGAGGAATCGAAAGAGGTCGCATCCTGCCAAATAGGCATAGAGAATGAAAGCAGAAAATTTCTTAACACCTCATTCCTTGACATTGCCCTCCCCAGTTCCATTATATTCCGCCTTCGCATCTACCACGATAGAGAACAAACTCTGCTGGAACAACAGCTGAAAAGGAAAGACATAGCAGGCCGTCAAAAGGAAGATCTAGCTTTTGCCCTCGCCACACACAGACGTAATTTCATCCAAGCACCCCGACACACTCAGACGATCCGAACCCTATCCACGCGCTTTCCCCTCCTTTCCCCAACCATTCGTCTCGTGAAAAAATGGGCAAACTCTCATCTCCTAACTCCATACCTACGAGAGGAGCTCTTAGAACTAATTGTCTGCCGCGTCTTCGTTCATCCATACCCTTGGAATCCCCCTTCCAGTATCTTAACTGGCTTTCTGAGAACCCTCCACTTCCTCTCCCGTTGGGACTGGAAACTAGAACCGCTGATAGTCGATCTAAATCAAGAATTGACTCCGCAACAACTGTCCGAGATCCAAAAGCGCTTCGACGCCTGGCGCAACATTGATCCGATGATGAACACCGTCGCCCTCTTTGTAGCATCAAACCTCGACCCTGATGGTATATCATGGACCCAATTTTCCAAGCCGCCACAAGTTGTTGCTGCGAGGTTATCTGCGTTAGCAAAGTCAGCCATGAAGCTCGTCACGGAAAAGAGACTAGATTTGAAGGCGCCAGAACTCTTCCGATCACCCCTGGCGGATTATGATTTTGTACTCAGGTTGCATCCGAAGTATGTTTCTGGCTCCCACAATAAAAAGAAGAATCAGATAGTGTTTAAAAATGTTCAGGGACTAGGTCATGGGGGGTTTGGTTACGATATGACCGGATTTAAACCTGCTGCGGTGTTTGTGGATGAGTTGAGCCATTTATTCGGACACGCTATTATGCTTTTTCATGGGGATGACGAGGAAAGTGGTGGTGGTGTGATTGCTGGAGTTTGGAATCAGCAGACAACCAAACCAAGGCCTTGGGGTTTGAAGATTCGATATTCGATTGTACCGTCAAATGTTGAAGGGAGTGACGAAGATGGGACTGAGCTCATACCTAATAAGTCAGCGATTTTAAATGAGATTGCCGCGTTGGGTGGTGAGCTCGTTAAGAAAATTCAGGTTAATCGATAATAAATAGGATAAATATGGAAGTGGGAAGAGGTATGGAAATAAATTTTCAATTATCAGTCCGTAATATTTCCATTGCTTTTTTTTTTTTTTTTCCTTCCCTTTCTTTTTTTTTTTTTAAAAAAAAATAAATACACAAAGAATTGAAGGGAAAAATAAATCGGTAACCTAAACGCCGATGCTATGTAACTCTGCCTCGTCTGTCAAGAAATGACGAGACATTCACACATTCCTAACCGACCCGCAGGGATTGTATATATCTGCAGTTGGTTATCTAATAATCTATGGCTTCAACGGCCAATTATTTCCTCTTTCCACCAGCTGATCCAGCTCCATCCAGCATAGAAAAAGAACAAAACTTGTCTTTAATGGCGACAACCTCGTAGCTACCCTCATCAGATGTACGGATAGTCTTGGTATATTCATAGGAGATGTCATGTTTAGTATCGAGGATATGTGATTTCTTCCCTTTACGGTCGATTGAACTGCGGGTATATCTGCAATTAAAAAAGAAAATATATCAGAATCAGTAAAAACCATTCATCCCAAATAACCCTATCAGTAGCACTAAGCAGGGGGAAGGAGGAACTTACGTGAACTCAAATGGCGGAGTCCCCCAAAACTCAAACACCATCTCAGCCTCGCCACCTTCATGTATCTCGACAACAGATACAGATCCACGGCTGACCCTAACACTAGGCATCTCATGGATAACCTTGGTAATATTCTTATGCGCCTTGCACTTCCCACTCGCCCCATCACTAACCGCCGTAATCGTAAATTCACCAGGCTTTTCTGCAATGCGACGGAAGCTAGTATTTGGCACGTTGGCTTTTCTCTCCACACCATTAAATGTATAATATACCTCAAAGGGAGCGTGGCCAGACAGTGAGAAAGACAGGCGCTCTCCGACACAATAGTCAACCTTTGTCTCAAGTGGGATAATTGTTGGAACATCTGAGATTGTTACTCGCACAGACGAACCTTCGTATTCTGTCGTTCGCTGGCAACCACGGGCATCGCGGACCTTTAAGATGTTGACGACATGTTGGCCTAGATCGAGATATCGCCGTGGGATAGGCAGGCTATATCGGTTGGAGGCTATGTTTGGTATGGACAGCACCTCCGGCTTGGATACGGAATGATGCTTGATTCCAATCTCCAGAGAAAACGGAGGTACTCCATCCAGGATTATGGGAATGGCTTCCTCCGAATTCCCTTCTTCTTTGCAGAATCCATAAATGTGGTTAGGCTGCCCAAAGCGCGCGGAGGGACGAGGATTGACCCGTTGCGTAATACTAAACGGCGCATGCTTCTTTTGATCGTAGTTGTAAAGATTATCAACAAGTTCAACAACAGTGTAGGCATAGTCACCGGGTTTCGAGGTGTCCATTTGCAGAGAAGCAGAACCCAGCGCCGCTGTTATTGACTTATAGCTTGTAGCAATTGCACCAGTGAGGGGTCGAAGTTGTTTTTCGTATCTAAGAGTGTAAGGGGGGGTGCCATCGAGTTTGATTTCCATGAGATCTTCGTCACCCTCGCAGACATCTCGTTTTTCAAACACTTCCTTGTCTTCAACTGAACCACCATCGACAGCTATAATTCTCGGTCGAGAAATCCAAGTGATTTCAAATGTGTTTGCTCCACTATCAACAGTCCCAGGACAGGAAGAATCACTAACCTCGATAATTTCATATCGGCCCCGTTGTGTGAATTGGACAAGGCTGTTTTCGTTCCACAGAGACTTTTCAATAACTGGCATCGAAGCGTAATCAAGGTTCTGGAACTTAACGGTCCAAGGCGGCACTCCTTCCAACCTTAGCGGTACCTCGACATTCTTATCTTCCAAAGCAAGGATACTACGCTTCTTATCGATCTGGCCAAACGCAACTTGAGGTCTCTTGGGGCGAACATCAATTTTGATCTCTTCTTTCAATATGCGCTTGCAATTTGATTTATCCTTGACACTTGTCAAACCAAGAGTAAATTCACCCCCATCAAGATCTTCCGTGACAAGTGTTGCTACTTCATGCTCGCTTCGAAGCTCGAGTTTCATTCGTTTCCCGTTATGGACGAGCTCGTACTGCAGCAACCATGGAGCTTCTCCAACGAAGAGGACATCGACCGAAACAGGTTCACCAAAACAGGCTTTGCGACTGGTTACTGGTCCCAGGAAGTGCGCTGATGCTGGCGGTTTCACATCCTGTTCTAGAACTTGAACTTTACCCTTCAGTGGCTGTGGTTCGTAAACGCGATCTGAGATGTCCAGAAATTCATATTTGTAATGGCCTGCTTCTGTTGGAGTAAAATCGATTTGGCTCCTTAAAGAGTCAAGGGCTATGACACGCGTCTGAACCCCTGTTGCTTGTTCGATATCATATCGAATTCGGAACGGAGGAGTTCCAATTAAGTCCAGATCTACCAGAAGACCAATTGAACTATTCGCACATTTGTCATAGAGTTTTTCGTAGCGCAAGTTGATGCTTGGCTCAGGCGGGTTATGAAGGAAACAAGACGCCGGCTCAAATATCTCACCAGAACAAAATTGGTTGGAGATGGCTGTGAGGCTGTACCATCCAGGCTCCTGAATTTGGGGTTTGTGGTTGACACTTTTGAGAATGACTTGCTGCAGAACGGGAGGAACAGAATTGTCACCCTGTGTTGCCTGGCTGGTGAAGGAGTATGTCAATATAAAAGGAGCTTCAGTTGCCTGGGTTCGCTCAACGGAATGGAAATGAACTGGTAGGTCTATGGACTGATCCTTTGCAACTTGGAGATATGATTGGGCATTGCATCTACTCAACGAAACGCGAGGGCGCTCATGAACCACAAATTGCTGAGTTTGAGGGGCAATTTTTGAAAACTGGTCACCGTCTTCAGAAGCAGTAGAATAATTTGCGACATTTCCACAGGCATCGTGGACCTCTTCGATGGTATAAATCCATTCTCCACCAGTGCTGAGCGACTCGTTAAGCGGAACTTCGATTCTTTGAGCCTGTGCCCAGCTAATATCCGGGTTGCTTGAGTCGATCAGGGAATCGACATGGCCTTGGCCGATAAGAGGCGACCTGAAGTTTTCGGGCTGAATACTCTGGAAGGAGACGCCATGGTCGATCTTGTTGACCTTGCGGCTATATTTGATCTTCAGAGGCGGTGTCCCCTCAACCACCAGCGTCAAGTTGGAAAGTTCACCCTTACACCGGTGGTCGGCGGAAGGTCGAATGAGAGCCTTCGGACAGGTGGCAACGAGGGTATCAAGTGAACGGCGCCTAACTTCAAGTTTTGAATCGTCCACAACCCTCAGGAGTTTGTATATTCCGGTCATTTTCACTGGAAATTGCAAATCTCGGGGGTTGTATATATCTGAACTCGAGTGGCCCTTATTTGCTTGCTTTATCATATACTTCAGCTGTTTAGGCGGAACTGAGATGGTCTCGTTCTGACCAGACTCAAGGTCAAATCGCAATAGCTCAATGGTTATAGGCGTTGTCTGGTTGACACGGATCGGCAACATGACCTGTGTTTTCTCGTTGTCGATACAAAAGGAGGTGTGCTCAGGATTAAGCACCGCAGAACTATAAATTTTTGTTTGATCAGCACCAATAGATGATATTTTAGGAGAATACGAAGTAAACTCACCCTTCAGGAAGAATATGAATGATCTGTTTCCCCAGAATCAAAGACGAGTTATGGAGAATATCGGCAGGTTTGACTCTCGTCTCTGAGATGGAAAGTTCTCTGTCATATGCAAGCTTGAGTAGGGCAGCCATCCATGATTCTATAGGTATCTGCTTGAAAATCAGTAACCCAGTTTTCGTTATTTAATTTTGCCCCATCGGGCCTTATTAGTGTAAACCTACAGGGATGTGGAACATTAGAAAGGCATTGGCGACAACATGCACGATGAAGACGGCCAAGGTAGTCGAAAACGACCATTCTAGCCAGGGTATTCTCAGGGCAGGAAGGCCGAAGAGGAAGATGCCATCGATTGTAACCCATTTCAAGAAAAGCCAAGTTGAATCAAAATCGTCCGACGATGTCCAATATTCATATATGCGCCATGCATTTAAGGCCATATAAAATGCCACAACATATAGCCTCTGGGATGGCGCATCGATTATCCTGAAAGGGATAAGGGGCGCGTCTGAGTCCTCCCGATCTATCATCGAGGGAAATGGCTTCTCATTTCGAAGGCTCCGAAGGCGGACTTCGAGAGGAGTGCCGTTATGGCTGTTGTTGAGGGATCTATTCCGTAGAGGAGTGCGGGGAGTCTGGGGGAACGACGATCGGAGTCGAGGAGTGCCAGTCATCGCATGCTTAGGGGATTCTGATTATGGGAGAGGAGTTGCAAATGTACTGCATACGATGGCCGGCTTAGCATCGCAGGCCCATCCAAGCCTAAATGGAAAGGAAGAGGGTTATATTAGCACGGGCATGCAGAGCATATAGGTAGGTTGTCGAGATCGCGATGCCTCACTGAACACTGGCACTATAAGTACTGCAATGTACTTGCAATTCCCCTCAGAGCAAAGGTATCTATATCCGGGTACGTCAGAATAACAGGCAAAGCCCTGCACAGAAGATCGCTGGCGCAAAAATTGTCGGTGTCAAATAGCTGTAGCTTTGGAGCATATAATATGGCAAATAACTTTGTCGTATAAATTTTATTTAATACAACAAAGGAGAGGCAGAAAGTTTGATAAAAACAAAAAAGAGAGCGGAAGAGAGCAGAGTCTTTTCCCCCACCCCGCCTGAGGAATAGAGCGAATAATCGAGCTCTGCTGGCTGGCGGTGCTCGATTGGAGTGAGTTGAGTTTCGAGTGTTGTCCGTGTTTTCTCTCCGCGCAAAAAGATATTTTGAAGGCGAAACGCGTTTGGAAGAACGAAGGTTGATGCCAAGCCCTTTCTGCCTCCTAACATGAACGTATTAGTTAACTAATTTAATAGTTAAGTTTGATAAATAGTTATTCACCGCTTGAACTAACTAGTTAACTCTAATAACTATAACTAACTAGGACAACTACGTCATTGACATTTCTTCTGATCAACCATTGAATATGAAGTGATCTAGCGGGATATTGAAGTCTCATCTTTTTTCTCATCCCAACTTCTGCATATCCTCAAACTTCGTTTCCCCTTTCCAGATAGTTAGTTATCAATCGCTGTAAACCCCAGTGCCTATAGCTTCCTATCGTCTTCTCCAATTCCGCTTAATCAAAACTGTTTGACTTGGACTCATCCTTCTCAATCTACATCCACCAGACCAGAATGACAGACCGAACAAAACGCCGGCGGCTTAATTCGCCAAAGTCTTTTGAGAGTTTGCCCCTCCAGCCTTTGACCCCGTCTGATAAAGCCAACTGGCATGGCTTTTGCGAAATTGAATCAGAGCCGGTATGTCCGTATCAGAAACCATATCCAGGTAGTTATCTATCCTATCCCCGTTTTCAAAGCTAACGTGGTAATTCTCCAGGCTCTGTTCAATGTCATGCTGCGAGATTTTGGTGTCAAAGGGGTTAAAGTCCAGGAGGTGGTGTCTCTGGATGACGAGATGCTAGAATTTCTTCAGTATGCTACGAGCTCCATCCCTTACTGTACAGCAATATATAAATAAATATATGTGACTTCATTAACCCAACCACCCAACAGCAAACCAGTCTATGGGCTTATCTTTCTCTTTCGCTGGAAGGAAGATGATCCTGAAAAACAGGAGTCAAGCTGCCCTGAGGGCATTTGGTTTGCTAATCAAGTCTGATTCCCATCCCCATTCCCTTCCCTCCCTTTCAGTGAGAGCAAGTAAAGGATGAATATATTCTAATATTTACTCCTAGACATCTAACTACGCCTGCGCAAGTGTTGCTCTACTAAACATTATCAACAACGTCGACGGAATCGAACTCGGGGAGAAACTTCAGCATTTTAAGGACTTCACAATGCCTTTTACCCCTGCACTGCGTGGAGATGCAATCGGCAATTTCGAATTTGTCAAGCGAGTTCATAACTCGTTCGCGAGGTATGTTGGCTTAAACGGTTATCATGACAAGCAGATTCTTCAGCTAACCTACCCGACCCTAGGAAAATGGATGTTCTCAGTACCGATATGCAGTTAAAGACCGAGGCAATGAAAAGAAAGTCCAGGGGAAAGAAATCAAAATCACAGGATATCGATGATACTGAGTCCGTCTTCCATTTCATTGGCTTCGTTCCAGCAAGGGGTAAACTGTGGAAATTTGATGGCTTAGAGCGCCAGCCGCAAAATCTAGGTAGATTATCTTTATCATTCCCCCCCCCCCAAAAAAAAAAAAAAAAAAAAAAAATCAATATCTGTCTTACTATTCCCTTAGTTTCTTTCTGCTAATTCTTTTTGTTCAAGGCGAATGCTCGGGCGACAAGTGGTTGGATCTAGCTAAGCCAGAAATCCTTTCAAGGATGGCGGAATACGAGGAAGATCAAATCGAATTTTCCATCTTGGGCCTTGTAAAAGACCCTCTAATCGACTTGAAAACACAGCTAGCGGAAAACATCAAGTGTATCTTCGCCATAGACAACCAGCTATCTACACTGGGTCTATCTTCTCTGGATGATGCCACTGCAACTGCAGTCAAGGGTAACAACGCAAATGGTAACGGTAATCGCCATGATTCATTTATCAACATCACCCAGGAAGAGATGGAACGGGCAGGTGTTCCAGAAGATCTCAGAACCAAATATAAATCTGCAACACCAGAGGAGTTGACCAGTTATCGAGAAGAGCTCGTCAGCGCCCAAAAGGGAATACGAATTTTGATCAGCGAGGAACAGCAATCGCAGCGAGCTGACGAAGACTACGCGGCAGCAAGAAGGCATGATTACGGGCCTGCTGTGCATACCTGGGTCCGTCTCCTTGCTCGCAAGAAGGTGATTCAAGGGTTGGTTAGTGAAATGCAAGCGTATTGATTTGATTAAGCGATGACAACTACCTCCTTGATGGCGCCGATTTTCCCTGCTGTATTTTATACCAATTTGTTTAGAGCATCACCTTGTCTATCTTGTTTAACGCCATAGTAATGGATGTCTGATGTGACTATAACTAATAATATTTGTCATTTTGTGGTATAGTTATGAATTTACCGCCGGAGTAGTTCAAGAGATCCATTGACTGGAGTTTGATAGTTCATTCTTCCGCAGCATTTTGAAATAACAACCAAAAATAAATATTGGAAAATGCTAAAGAATTAAATGAATAATAACAGAACTTGAATGACCAATAGCTCCATTAACCCCCAAATTTATAATACCCTCGTCGTCGTCTCGTGAATGAAATGTAGCGTAATTATTAACATCTAATCACTCACGATGCTGAAGTTAAATCTCCAAAGCGCGTCTTGCCGATCTCACCAATCTAATTAAAAGCCACACGCGAACGCCTCACGCAAATCTCCGCTATGATTATCATCACAACACCGTTACACAGTCGGTCTCCTCTAGAATCCACAGAATTGAAAATGTCAGCCAAATCAGACGATATCGAGCTGAAGCTGGAGGTGGATCTAGTGACACTCGACTACATCCTGTGCAAAGCCATCCGGGCAATAGTAGAGGATCGAATATCACAGAGAAACGGCCAACAGCCACTATCAAAGCACATTGATAGAAAGGGGGAAAGTATTCTTGGAATATTTGATGGTTAGTAACTTCGTAGTTTGATTTATTTTCGACCAGATATATTCAACACGGTGCAAACCTGACATGCTTAACATCCTTTTTTACTACAGCATTCATGCAATTATTTCGCTACAATCACCCCAATGAAATTAATGATAATGATGCATACATATTACCGAGAGATTTAAAGATCAAACTCCAAATCCTCACGGTTACAAATCTCCTCTGTCGACGGTACAGAGCCAGCTCCAACCCCATTGTGTTTCTGCCCTCCGAAGAAACACTAAATGCTCAAAGAGAGCGCAACAAAGCACGCGCAGAGCGCTGGCTAGATCGAAATAGAGAACGCAGAATTAGTTGCGGAACTGCAAAGGAGCCGACTCCTCCTGATAAGTCGTTTCTAGAACGAAATCGCCGAGATATGTTCTTACATGTAGGTATCTCTCATCATCACGACAAGACACCGCCCGTTGGTCCAACCGTCACTCTACTTGATATTCTACCAGAGTACATGGATCTTTGTAGAATGGTTTTTTATGACATCCAAGACAAAAGCTGGATGGAATTACTGGTTCAATTCATGCTGCATGCGGCCATCGAGGAGTTTCTGATACGGGGAAAACCCATCGCGGAAGCTGCTAATGAGGCTTTCGCGTGGAATTATCCCGACGATGTCGAGGTTGAAGAAGACAATGATGATCAGGACGATAAAACGCACGCTGCTGATAATATCTCTCAGTGGGAAACAATGAGGGATTCGGTTAAAGAATCTCTCTTTGATACTAGGGACGTACAAGATTGGGAATCACGGATCGGGGGAATCCTCGATAAGTATCCTTTCATACAGTTCGAGGAACGCCTCCTGAAGTGGCTGATACAATTACTAGAGTTTCAGGATTCATCTATTCTCATGCAGCTGGAGGAGGGGAAACTAGAAGGGCTGACGGTGGAGGAAACAGAGGAATTCATGAATAAGGTTGGTGTTCGATAGACAATTGAAACAGCAGGCAAAATTACAAGTGAAAATACGGAAGGAAGGAAAAACGAGAGAAAGATGACATGCGGGTAAAACTTTTAATTGCATATTGGCCGATACCAATCAATTAACCGCCAAATTTTGTCCCGAGGAAAGCTATTTACACAAATATGCCCGGCACCACCATCAACAGCGCCCAGGCCCCTTTTAATCATCTGGATATTCGTCTCGAATATTACTAACGAATACGCGCGATTGCGCATCCCACCTCTTGAAGTGCTTGCCGCCCAGCTTCAAAAATGAAGGCGGTAGTTGAGATATTTCCGGGGCGATCGGTTCGATATTTTCTTCCGCAACGTATCTCACGCTTTTGTCGGATACTCTAGAAAGCAAAGAACATGTGAGCAACTTCCTGCAATCCTCGATGATGGGTATAGGTATGGAAAGGGACGGGGGATGTACAGAACATGGTAGAAACTTTGATGTTTACCGGCACGTAACCGATCGATGCCCATCTGCTGCATCCACTGCTCACCAGCTCCGCATTCGGCATCCCATCCAGTTATGACAGCGACATAGTCATATCGACGATGCCGGAATACCTGCCCTATTTTGTATTTTACATTCTTATGCTCCGATGTGCGTCTCCGGACCTGTTTGGGGATGTCATCACCCGCCCGCAGGACCCGA